ATAAATAAGTCTACCATTGCGCGAACCATCAATAAGTCTACCGATCACAAAATTAACTCTACCACTACTACTAATAAGTCTATCACTTAAAAATAAATTTACCACTACTATAAATAAATCTACGACTGCGAGAACCATCAATAAATCTACCGATCACAAAATTAACTCTACCACCACTAGAAATAAGTCTACCGATCACAAAATTAACTYTACCACTACGAGAAATAAGTCTACCACATATTATAAATCTACCACTACTATAAATAAGGCTACCATTGCGCGAACCATCAATAAGTCTACTAACCACTTAATAAATCTACCAATCACAAATAAATCTACCATCACATGAACGGTAGAATTATTCGCTGCCTCATTAATAACATTTTCGTAAATACGTTTTTTCTCTTCAAAGGAAATAAGGTTAAAACGGGTATTAATAGTTTTCAAAGTTGTTTGAATAATTTTCAAAAAATAGCATCATTTTGATCAAAAATCAACTTTATAAGGTTATTTTAGTAAAACTCCCATGAAAAAGCTAAAAAGAAACTTGCAATATTTACATAAGTCGGTGATAAAATATTTTCTCTCAAATAAAAGAGACAACTTTGTTAATAAACTCGCTAAACCCTTTTCGGCTTGATAAAAAAACCTTGAACGAAGACGCCTCTTCTTCTTCCTCCTCGTTCTGCGCCGCTTACTCGACCTCTCGGTGAAAACCCTCTCGAGCAATCATCTCTTGCACTAATCGTTTGGTTTCGTTTCCGAACATCGATTTGATCGCCGTAACACAGGAACCGATTTTGTTCAGCCTTACAGTTTTCCAGTATTCATCAACCGGCGGCATGAGTGAGGTCAAGGATCAGAAGAGGAAGAGGAATAGAAGCAATGAGAAGAGTGTTGGGAAAGTATTTCCTAACGAAGAGAAGCAGGAACAGCAACAAGGACAAGGACAAGGGAATGGTAATCCGAGCAAGAAGAAGAAAAGCCAAGAGGTTTTTCCTTTTGGAAATTACAGAAACTACTATGGTTACCGAGTGAGTCATTCTTCACATTAGTCTGCTCATCTTTTCATGTTCATATTGTTACTGATTTTTGTGGGTTCTTTTGACAAAACATTATGTGTTTAGATTAGCCATGATATGGATGAGGATCCTCGGCTTAAAGTTATGAAGCAAGAATGGTTTCAGGACAAGGACTGTCTTGACATTGGCTGCAATAGCGGGATTATGACTATCCATATTGGTATTCTCATCAGAAACTGTTCCACATTTGGTTTTTTATTTGGTATTAGGTCGAGAATGTTGGCTTGTAAAAGATTTGTTCTCTGATCTTTGTT